GAAGCTTTAAAAGAGAAATCTAACTTTACTACGATGTTTCTTGAAAGTATTCAAATTAGAAATTTGCATATTCTTATTTCGCTCTTAAAGCTTCCTCTATGAGGAAGCCATAACAATAGAAGCAATGGGCATTTCTAATTAGAAAAAAAGTAAAGTAAAGTGTGTAAATTAGAAATTTGCACATGGCTTCCTCATGGAGGAAGCTTTAAGAGCGAAATAAGAATATGCAAACTTCTAATTTGAATACTTTCAAGAAACATCGTAGTAAAGTTAGATTTCTCTTTTAAAGCTTCCTCTATGAGGAAGCCATAACAATGGAAGCAATGTGCAAATTTCTAATTTGCCTACTTTAATGATGAGGAAGAAATGTGCAAATTTCCAATTTGCACGCTTCAATGATGAAGAAGCAATGTGCAAATTTCTAATTTGCACACTTTTTACTGCATTTCAACTAGAAAAATGTAAGTATTAATTTAAATACCGTGTGATTTTTTAAATTTGTTATAACATAAATTATAATACTTTTAGATGGCGTATAATTTGAGAACTCGGAGCATACACCAGATGCTGTATTGAAATAATGTATTTAACCTTTATTTATCATATATTTTGTAAAAAAACATTTTACACGCAAAAGACGAATAATATAATTATTATTATTATATAATTAATTTTTATTGCAATGACCAGTAAAAATGTGCCTTCAATTTTTCCGAAATATCACACCTTCGGTTGTCAAAGTAAATAACTTTTTTGGAATGTGCACTATTGCAATTTTCAAGAGTATCCAGTTAAATTTTTAGGTGAAAATATTAAGAAATAAAAGTTATTGAATTTTAAGTAAAAAAACGGCATTTTCTGAGCTTCTTTCTACATTTTAATTTTTTTAAATTATTGCAATCATTATTTGGCTCGAACCAAGTTTATCCTACTTGTTAATGTTAATATAGCATGTCTAATTTTTTACATCAAAAAATAAATAGTATCATTGCAGCAATTGTTTAAACTAGCGGGGGTCAGATTGACCCCATGTGTAGTGTATGTCTGAAATAGTAGGGTTAATATAACATGTCTAATTTTTTACATCAAAAAATGAATAGTATCATTGTAGCTATTGTTTAAACTAGCGGGGGTCAGATTGACCCCATGTGTAGCGTATGTCTCAAATAGGTTAAAGTTATATCGCGGATAATTTATATTTCGTCCATTGAAACTGCCGTTCGAGAAGGCCGGAATAAAATCGGCAAACGACGAATGTTTTCAACAAAATATCAATGTTTGTGCGGTAAATAAACGGAGCGTGCAGTGCTTCTACTTTTCATCCACGCTCATGTTTCAAAGAGTGGTTGATGAGCGACGCCTAATGTAAGTACCACAGTACATTAATATAATAAAATATGTATTATAATATATCAATACATACTTGTATGCTGCGTACATTTTTACTCATGTAAATGGACTAATGGACTTGCAATATACAAACACGATGGCCCACATTCGGAATGCACTTGCACCGACGTTAGCTAACAAGTCGAGATATTAATCCAAAACTAATAAGGATAGAGGAATCCCATTATCAGATAGGATCCTCATATGGAATGGCGGGGTTTCTGTTAAATTAATAGGCATTGTCAGATTCCACAATGAATTTACTGCCCTTGGAGCGCGAAATCTGTTCAGTGGAAAAATCATTGTTAGGTTGTGTAATCGTTGCGAAAAAAGATTTGTAATTAAATCGAAAACCTTTTGTCTCATAATAGAAGCAAAAGTGCAAAGCTTATGGTCGACCAGACTGGCGAAGTTTCAGTAATTTGTTTACGACGTGTCGACCTAATTCCAAGCCTTATCAAGTAACAACATTTAAACGGTTGTAGTCGGATAACATAAAGAGTGGGTGAGCTTGTGCCAGCAAATTCATCTGAACGAGTGGTGAGGGCAAACGATAAAATTGGTAAAAAAAATTACAAAATAAAAAGTAGAAAACGCAAAAATGCAGAATGAAAACTCATGAACTCGCATGTTTCCGTCGTCAAATATAAAAGTCGTGACATAAAAGTAGGCTGTCCGTATGATGTAGGGGCTCATGTAGGACTACCAATAAAGAACCCCGCACTAATCATATAGGAAATTGGATCTCGGTTAAATTGGCTAGTTTTCACATATATTGTAGCTTATGACCTGCTGAACAAAAAATGTTATGGGCTCAAACTTAAATAATGGCTAGTTACTGGGCTACAACCAGTCAAACATAGAAAATTTAAGCTCCGCGGGTCTTGTTTGGAAATACTTTGAAGCATATTAGGAAAAAATGTTTCAGACAAAAGTTGTTTGGTTCGAAGGGAGACATAAGACGATGCCATTGACCTTGGATAATTATTTAAAGGTCATATGAAGGTCAATTTCAATTTCTTAAATGGACACTCCTATTTTTCATTGCACATTTTTATGTCGAGTTTTTCAAAGACACTATATAATGAAATATAGTCTTATTTCGAACCAAACAACTTTTGTCTGAAACATTTTTTCCTAATATGCTTCAAAGTATTTCCAAACAAGACCCGCGGAGCCCAAATTTTCCATGTTTGACTGGCTGTAGCTCAGTAACTAGCCATTATTTAAGTTTGAGCCCATTATATTTTTTGTTTAACAGGTCATAAGCTACAACATATGTGAAAACAAGTCAATTTAACCGAGATCCAATTTCCTATATGATTAGTGCGGGGTTCTTAAGAACGCAAAAATAAGTAGCAAGGTAGGGAGAAAGGGCCAGTGCGAGCCGACCGCAGGTGTCCGTGCGAAATTATTCAATATGGAACTTTTTAATCGCTTTATTCATTAATATCCAAACGTTTCGACCCATTTTCGGGTCATCCTCAGGCTAGAATAAGGCTAAAATAATAAAAAGTAATACTTAGTGTTACAAAAACTTAACAATATTAAAACTTAATTACGAATAGGATTAATAAATAGACACAGAATGTACGAATACGACGCTTAAATGAAATACTGCACAGTTGAAAATTTTGTGTTAAATTTAAAAGATATCACATGTCCCAAACGGTCCACACAAATTTTTGTATTAATTTAACATAATATGGATATGTTAAATTACCACATGTTAATATAACACACTAATACTCTGTTAATATTTTAGCACAAAATAAATGCAAATCTCAAAATAGTTTGAAATCAATTTCGTGTAAAATTAACATATTTTAATGACAAAATAGATTTTTTTTAATGTAATTTTTACATTTCGCAGATGTAATAAAATGACGGTTCGAAATCACTCTCACTTATGTTACATAGAATAAAATTAACATTTTATTCTGTAAATTTTCACAGATAAACCTTGTTACTAATAATATAGAACATATGTATTGTGTAAGATTAAAAAATAAGTACACATTGTTTTAATATTTCTTTTCGCTCATCTTAATAATTTGACAGTTGAGGTCAAGTAACACAAGAGCAATATGTTAAATCAACACATGAATGCGTTGTACATTTAACACAAAAATTGTAACTGTAATGGTATTTTTTTAACAAGAAAACAAATTTTTCAAAAGCGAACAAAAATAAATAACACAAGGTGACAAGAAAACACCAATTTTCCAAAAGTAAGCAAACATAAATAGCACAAGGTGGACAAACAAGACCAAGCGCAGACTTAATAACTGTCATATAATACAATAAATTAAAATGTTCAGTTTCCTCTTGGAGCTTGTTGGTATTATATTATAATAGAGGACTAACTACTAATTAGCCTACACGCATCTGCAAGACTGGCGCGCGCATTCTTCGTAGCCTTGGACTAATAAAACTGCTAATACCTCGACTTGTCGGCGCGCTAACGTCGTCTTGAATAAGGGCCAGTCTGTTTATCCGCTTCCAAAGCTTCTTTGCATAAAATAAGAAATCGTCTGTCTCCTATTTTTATCTACAGCCGTCAATGAGGACTAAAACGACTTCTTCGGAGCGGAAATACATACCCTTCGTCGCGCTCTCCCCCCCCCCCTCTCTCTCTCTCTCAATTTGTAAAAGAATGTAAAAGGGTACGTCGAGCATACTTGTCATTTCTATTATGGTCTCGTCGACGTGGTGTACGATAGTCGGAAAATTTCTCATCCTCGCTCGGTCCGTTTCAACGTGTACGACAATCTCGATCTTATCCGAACGGACCTTGTCACGGGACGGTTTACCAACAGCTCGACTAAACAGCTCTTGCGCGCGATTTCACGCGCACAAAACACTGGCCGGAGCGAAGCCGAAAATTTCGGGGCGGGTCGCGGCGCTGGGTTACATCGTCAGTCACGGCGGTGGGGGATCGACACCGTATCGTCAACACTCACCATGTTAGATCCGGATGTGCGGTCTGCCGAGTCTGTGTCCATCCAGGGCACATCTGAATCCAGCGGATTAGCACGGAAGGAGCATTGACCCACTTCCCGCGCGTGCACGCTCGCAGGCAGGGAAGAGGAGAGACTATCCGGGCCAGGCTCTATCCGCGGGAACTCGTACGCGCGATAACGGAACTGCCAAACACACCTACCCCCGAGCCCGAGCGAGCACGCCCGAGCAGTTCGAGACGAACTGAACTGACGCGCAGCGCGCACCAACCAGCACGACTCGCGCGAATGAAAGGAGGTAGCTTCTCGATTTGCCGCGCGCCGGCAGCACCGTTATCCCACTTCGCATTGGTATGTACGCGAGAATGCATAGCCTCATCAACCACGAAGTACGTAGACGTAGAGTACCTCTAGTGAGAGTATGGACAACGTCTGACATTAACAGGGAAACTGTGGCGCGCTTTTCAAATTCATTTCTGTGATATTTTTCAATTGCAAGCCTCTTCATATAAGCTGTATCCCGATATTCACTGCCAGTGAATATCTATAGTGAACGTGACGTAAAGTATAGATTTTTAGTACTGGTAGTGAATATCGGAACGCAGCCACATTAACTTCTATATGTGAATATGAAATAAGTAGTATTTCTATGAATCTGAAATAACCCAGGGAGAAATGTAAGATCGGATAGACATCTATCAGACGTCGGAGCAGTCTAGTCTAAAATAATGTCTAGAAATATTTAAATTAGATGCAATGTGATTTTGTGTTATTTGTGTTTTTTCATACATAATGTACACAATAGTGGTGAATTATTAATGAAAAATTCTTTTTAAACTGCAAGTTACTTCTCGACATCTAATAGACATCTAATAGACCTATAGATAAACTTCTATTGACGCAGTGAGTAATAAAATGATCGAATCGATGTCTTTTGATGCATTTAACATCAATTTGATGTCGATTTGAATGAAAATGAATGATTTTGATGTTAAATGAGCATAAGCGCTATAAAACAAATTAACGGAGGTAATTTACACAGCTATACGCTAATTTACACATTTATTATATGATATATTATAATTTTTTGAACGTATCGATTGGCTGCAAAATAGAAATATTAATTCTTGACCTTCTTATAGTAGTTTTCTATTCTGCAATTATAATCAAGACTAAACAACATATGAGAACACGCCAATGTGGGTCACAAGATGTAGGTAGCCCAACTTGTAAATCATATTTTTCTGAAAATCGTGAATCTATATACCGCTTCTTCCCACATTGGTTCTACACGCCGATTTCTTTTTCGGACATAACGTACGCAGTTTTCTTACACGTGGAATTATTATCGTCAGCAAATTCACGTATTCGAAGCGATAAACGATTTTTTGTAATTATATTAAAAATGCTACATATTAACATTTTTCTGATGCTACATTTAGCATTCAATACCCCCCTTTTCTCGTGCTGTAAATTATTCTTATTGCGAAAAATATTACCTCAGCCAGGATTCGAACCTAGGCTGGGACCCCCTCAATCCGTGACGGGCGTCTTAGCGTTATGGCCGAAAAAGAAATCGACGCGTAGAACCAATGTGGAAAGAAACGGCATATAAATTAACGATTTTCAGAAAAATATAAGATTTACAAGTTGGGCTACCTACATCTTGCCTTGTGACCTACATTGGCGTGTCCTCATATGTTGTTTACCATAGTTTTAGATAGGGGTCTTACTTGATAGTTTATTATATAATCAAGACGTTCACAAAATTGGGATTGGCTGATGCCGTCAGAGAACATAATTAATGTTAGATTTCTTCAGCCAAAAAACAGGCAGATGTTTATTTTGTCTTCAGTTTCTAAATTTTATTTATTTTATTATTAACGTTAATAGTATCTTAATAAAAACGATCATATCTTATATCTCCGCGTCACTTCTAACTGCGTGGTGATTCCCTATCCAGTAAGCAGGAGCCTGTCCGTTTACACAAGACGTTTTGTAGACGTGTCTATAAGACGTCTATTAGACGCGTCTAAAAAGAGTCAAATCGACATCTATTTAGATGCGAAATTCGATCTACTTTAGACGTATCGAATAGACATCTATTATACGTCTATTCGACTTCACGTTTCTCCCTGGGAAATAGTATTTCAAATTACTGCTTGTACCCGTAGAGCACAAATTGTTACAGAAAGGTTTCAGAAAGATTTCAAAATTATTTCAATATTTTGAAATTTAAAAAAATGACGCAGTAGTCAATCATTGCTTTATTATACTTTTACAAAAGTTGTAAGTTGATTGGCTACTGTGTCGTCTTTTGCCGCGCGGCAAGCATTTCAACGTTCCATATACTACTGTGATCAAATTGAAAGGTGACTGTTTCATTTAAACTCCGCGGGTTTATCCAATCCGTAAAATATTTTTTCTGTAAGTTGGTAGTACTGTTACTGACATCTGTGCCAAATGTCAGGTATATAGCTGCGTTAGTTGCTAGGTTACGCTTGGTTTTGTAAACAGTAAAAAGTTATTCCGGCGATTTTTACAATGTCAATTTTTACATTGTTCGAGACTATTTCGCCAAAAATTCAACGAAGATCGTTCCACAACCGCCGTATTCACCTGATCTAGCACCGTGTGACTTCTGGCTGTTCAACTCAAAAGGCCACTTCGGGGAAACCGTTTTGACTTGATTGAAAAGATAAAAACCGAATCGCAGAAGGAGCTGAAGGCCATAAAGAAGGAAGAATTTGCGAAGTGCTTCGAGGACTGGAAACTTCGTTGGCATAAGTGCATTGGAGCCGATGGGGATTATTTTGAAGGGGACGAAATGGATTTTCAAGAATAAATAAAGGTTTTTCATTTTACAAACAAAGTCACCTTTCAATTTGATCACAGTAGTATGTGACTCAAAAGCGAGAAAAATCTTTTTGTAATATTCGCATTACTTATTCAAATTTATTGCATATGATAGATTTCTGAAACATTTATATTGCATCATTTCATATGACATATTGTAGAATTCTGTCAGAAATGTTGAGCATGAAATGTGAAATATTGAAATAATTTTGAAATCTTTCTGAAACCTTTCTGTAACAATTTGTGCTGTATGGGGTGTAATAATTTTTCTTCGCCAGTTCTGCTTACGGTATCAAAATGTGTATACTTTTCTTTTCAATGTAAAAAAAAGAAGGTTCTACGATTTTTTTTCGCCAAATCACAGCTCATTGAAGTAACCCTTGTGTTTTCGACAATAACTGACGATATCTCCGTTAAAAAACATCGTAGCAAGATCGTTTTTTTTCTAAATTAAAGCTTGCACTTTCAGCTTCAAAAACTAGTCGCCAGATTTTTCCTCGAATGCATCTGCGCTGCTTTTTAAAATGTATGTATGAGGACATGTTTTTACCTAAAAAGTAACCAACTTTGGCCAGGGCGTAGGAAATTTTTCCTCGCTAATTCTGCTCAAAGTATTAAAAAGTGTGTACTTTCCCTTCAAGTTAAAAAGAAGTTACTACGATTTTTTTCGCCAAGTTACAGCTTTTTGAAGTAACCCTTGTATTTTCGTTCATTACCGTCGACATCAGCGTAACCCAATGTGCACGTGGAGGTTGCCGATCGGATTTTGCACATCGTGTGGCCCTACAAGTCACGCAACCTTCTTCCCATCATATCCCAGTATGTTCGATATGAATACACCACTGACCTTCTTCAGGGCCACACGATGTGCAAAATAGTAGACAGAATATAGGTAGTCACCTCTACGTCATCGTTCCAAATATACATACATATACATTACATACTACCTTAAACATATTGATCGTAGAGGGGGGCCAAAACTAATGTAACGAACGATTGTCGATGACCTGAGAGTTGACAAAAGACCACAGTTACTGATTGTACATCTCAAGAAATAAAGTTACAATTTTATATAACTCCACACGATGAACTCCATAGACCAGCGCTTAATCGATGCAATCGAGAAATGTGAACATTTATACAATAAAAACAATCCTGATTATGCGGATAAGGTAAAAAAGCAAAATTCATGGTGCAGTATTGCACAAATGGTGAATGCAACAGGTATGTATGCGTTATTAGTTTTATTTAGTTATTTGGCTCGTATAATGTATTTTAATCGTATATATTATTATACAGCTGCTGATTGCGAATACAGATGGGGCCAATTGCGAGAACGTTTCATTCGTGAAAGACAGAAATTAAAAACAGGACTTCCTTCCGGCTCAGGTTCCTCAAAACAACTCCTAGTGATCTGTATAAAGCTCTGCAATTCTTAGAACCTTATATTCAAAGTAGAAGGTATGTAACTTATCGTCGATTCAAGTATCTTCGATCAAGTATCTACGAAATGTATTATATAATATTATGTATTTATCTTATATACACTTGTCTTTGCAGTGCAGTCTGTTGAAAATTAATTTATCTATATAAAATTAAAATATCTAACAAAAACAAACAAATATAAACATACGTAGAATCTTTTATCTGCGTCTGTACATTTTTTAATTAGAGATAGTCAATTAAACATAATGTATTAAACATTATACACATTATATGTTAATACACATAAAAACACACATAAAAAGTATTTTTCAATTATTCCAGGACACGAAGAAATATTTTGAAAAGAAGTTTGTCAACATCTGAAAATTTTGCTACATGGGAAACGCTGGAAACTGCCGATGTAGATGTACTCGAATATCTGAAAAGTGTCGAAAACAAAAGCAAACTTGAAATGCAAGGGAAAAATGAGTTCCAGAAATCAGAAGGCGATTTATCGAATATTATAAGCATAGAACCGTCAGATGAAAATAATACCAATTTACTGAATGTTGAGACTTCAGTTCTTAGTAAAACATATACAAACGTTGAAAAAAACAAAAGAAGAAAAACATTGTAAGTGCCGAAGTTGATTCATTACAAATTGTTTCTGAAGCATTACAGAGTGTAAAAAGACTGTGCGAATCTACTGACAAAAGTGATGATATTGCCCATGGTGTAAAGACACAAGGTGAAGCAATCTGGTGGATGCGCAGTGTCAACCAATCAGAAGTGACCGAAACTGCCGAGTCGTCAAAATGCCGATTTGCTTCG